CACTTGGAAGTGGTGCGGGTGTTGCTCGAGGCTAGAGCTGACCTCAACACAGCAACTCACGACGGGACAACCACCTTGATGGTTGCAGCTCAGGGTGGCCACACGCAAGTCGTGCGAGTGTTGCTCGAGGCTGGAGCTGACCAGGACGCACAAAATGAAAACGGGGAAACCGCCTTGGAGGTTGCCGCCGAGAATGGATACAGTGTCGGATACAGGGAAGTGCAGCGCTTGTTTCTCCAAGGCTTGAAGCACCAGGCGGCCCCGTCCGCACAACCGGACCGCTCGCGATCGCGGTGAGATAGTTGTACTTGAGAGCTCCCAGAAAAGTCCTACGCGCTGGCGATTTCTTGTTTCTAATAGCTTCGATTTCTTGGTTCTTATAATAGCTTCTTGCTCTTAGTAGTAAGGCCAGGAGCCCCGATCGTAGCGTCCAAACGCTCCGTTCGTAACGATGCCCTTTGCTCCGAACGTTGCGTCCTTCCTCATTCTGCCACCCGTTCCCGGTTCCTTTCGCCCACGTCCCGGCGGCCCCTCGAGGAAGGACCCCGACGTCGACCCGGAAGAGCTCACCGACGTGGCAGACAGCTTGGCAGAGCGCAGCAACGTGGGGATCCTCGCCGCGCGCGACGAGCGAGGACGGAACGAGGTGGGGTGAACGGTCTTCTTCTTGGGTGAACGGAATGAAAGGGAAGAGAGGGCAGGTGAATGTGATGGAGGGTGTGTGGGATGCTTCTGGGTTTCTAGTTTTGCCATGTGTTGACTCTACATTCGTAATCAGACGTAGTGACGTAATGAATAGAGTTTGTTCGCAGTGTTGAGCCACAGACACATGGCATTTTGCCATGATGCTACGAATGCTATGCCGTCTCCGAAGTCCACCTTTTATCATGTCACGCCATCTCCGAAAAAAAATCAACACAAAAAACCACCTGCGTTCGGACTGACACACCGAAACGTCTCGCACGCCGCCTCTCACGCCGTACCCCTACACCCTCGGCCGAAACCCGACACGAATCGCAGGACGCTCGCCCTTGCACGTGGCCGCCAGCCGTGGCGATCTACGGCTTTGCCGGGCGATGATGGAAGCGGATCCAGGGTCCGACGTCGGGTGGTGGGGTGGAGGTGACGGTTGTGCTTGGGGGGGGGAGGCTCTCAGGTGACGGTGGTTGGGGCAGGAAAAAGGTGGACATGTCAATGTCATGACATGTCTGTTTACAGTGTGTTTGCTTGTTTTTGTTCTGCCACTCGGCGTTTGGTCGGGGTGTAGGGTACGCTTGAGGAAATCATCTCTGGCTTGGGGAAGACATGTTCGATGATCTTGTGTTTGTGCAAGGCTGAAGAAGGCTGGAAACACCGGCTGGCACAAAAACCTTTTGGCACAGGTAGGCATGCAGGCGGCATACGTTGAACATGATGCAAAGTGAGAATCGTTGGAAACTGTTTTCTCTTTTTCCCTGGCATTCTGCAAAATGTATTCACTAGAGTTCACTAGATGATGCAAGTACTGCAACGTGTTCAATGTTGTTGTTGATGCGAATGAGACGAACGCACATGGGTGACAGACGTCAATGGCAGTCGATTTCTCGGTGTCCACATCTTCCGAAGCTGAACCCGCACGAAACGCACGGTGTCCAGCGAGCCGACCTGGGCCGGGCTCGAAAAGCACAGAACGGTGGCGCCTTCGTGAGGCTAGTGAATCAGCTGGACCATCAGAAGAACACTCCCCTGATGGATGCCGCGTTTTTGGGTCGCTGCCTCATTGTGAAGGAGCTCATCGCACATGCTGCAGAGGTCACAGGAATCTCACCAGCGTTTGTGAAACAAAAAGTTGTCCGAATGGAACGCATGTCCAGCTAGCTCTTCGTTCTTTTGTTCATGGGTTTCTTGAGGCTTCCGGTTTCACCCCGTTTGCCCTCTGAGGAAAGAATGCCGATTTGATGAACCCCCTGCAGTTGGCCTGCGTCAACGAAGGCGCGATGATTATGATCTTTGTCGAGCGGTGCGCGGTGCTGGTAAGGCACAGGCGGCCAGTGTCCTCTCGTTGCGGCCAGGTGTTGTGGGCAACATGGCCCTTGGTGTTGGTGTTCTGGGCATTGCGGTCAAGTGTTTTTGGGCTTAACATGGCTTAACAAATCATGCTAGCTAAGTCATTTGCAGCGAGATACCTAAACGAAGCTGGACTGGTGCCTTTGCCAAGTTACAAGTTGATGCCATTCCTAGATCCTCACAACCACATCGCCAGACTGAATGATTCACGTGAACCATCCGTCCTGGGTGTCCTGCTTGGAGAATGTCTAAGTAGGATAAACATGAATCACGTCCATGTGACCCAATGGATGATCCTGGATGTTCTGTTTACAATGGGTCATCAGAGGTTCAATGGCAGACCCCAAGTTTGGTTGAAACATGGACCCCCCATCTGTCCAAGACATCGAACGGGGTGCCAGTGCCATCGAACCTTTGAAACCACATTCTCGTCGCCAGGTGCGGGCAACGGCGACGTGGTCACCGCGCTCGTGGAGGCCGCGGCGGACGTGGGCGCCATGTGTTGGCAGACCACACCGCTGATGGCGGCCGCCGACAGCGGGCACATTTGGGCGCTCCGGTGGCAGAAGACTAATCATTAAACATGCCGAATGTAGACTCTTGATTAGTAAATCCAACCATTTGAATTGGACATCTTCTTCATATGGGGGGTTGATTAATCAAGCGTCTACATTAAACTGTGGTCGTTCACCTCATTGATGATGTGCTTTTGCAGGAGCAAGATCCCAACACAATTGATGTCCTTTGACCATGTTTGGCCTGTGTTGTAGCAATAAAAACACAAAGAAAAGAACCAAATGGAACCGAACAAATGTTCTAAAAAGGAGTCAACCCAACCTATTTGTTGATGTATATACTGTAATAGCAACAGCCCCGGGTTCTTGATGTTTATTCCTAGCATGTGTTGAACTCGTCATCTTGAGGCATTGCACACGCTCATCGACATGGGGGCAGACCCCTGGCAAATGAACGGTTCCGGCTACACCGCGCTGGACTATGTCCCTTGGGCGACAGACATGACATCGGAGGGCAAGGCGGTTCGGTGTGTGACATGACCCCAAACGAAAGGATGAAGAAGGCTTTTTCTTGAACAGAATGTAGACTGTTGATCAATAGCCGCCCCATATCCCAATTGGATTGTAAAAGCTCTTCAGGGGGGGTCCTATTGATCAAGTGTCGACATGGATTGTTAGTTGTGCATCATTCAGCTGCAGGGTGCAAAGCCAAGCTCTGTGAAAACTGCAGTGGTTTGTTGCTTTGTTTCAGGATGCCATTGACCATCATTGACATTCAATGCCTGGGCCTGGAACAAGGAAAAAATAGTCGTATCTAACCGAATCTAACCAAACATCCGGAAGCCCAAAAACCCGGAAGCAAAACCCTGCGATGGTCCGGCACCCGTTTTGCTTCGCAGCTTCCCGGACCGACGAGTTCGCGAGGCGCGGGATATGGAGACGGCGGAGTTCTTGTGCGCCGAGCCCGCTTCGGGGCGGAGGGAGGGGCGACGGTGACCATCACCGGTGGTGACCAGTAACACTGTTGGAAGTGTCCTTTCCCTTTTGCAAGTGCAAGAAAGAGAGCAAGATGAATGCCTTCTAGCAACAAAAACTTCACGGATTTATGCAGGAACTAGGAGATGTCATATTATGATCTCATTCAGGACTTGATCCCTTCAGTTTCCGAGCTGCTACTGTACCTCAACACGACCGCTGCTGTCCACCCTGAGTTTCTCACCGGGGCCCCGGCCGAAGAACGTCGGAGGTATTCGCTGATGGAAGGTGATAAGCTCTCGAACCAGGCCGCCCCCAGGATCGATGTGCCTCGGCCGATGACCGGGTGGACCGGGACGAGCTCGGGGACCGAGCGAACGGGCGGTTCGGAGAGGTGGACCCGCGCTGTGGTCTGGTCTCCTTTTATTGGGGACGGAGTCTCAAACTGGATGGGGAGGGACTCCAAGGAGACTTGAAAGGGTGGGGTAACAGTAACGAAGGGACTTCACGAGTGGTTCTGTGATGTTTTTGGGCCTTCAGGGGTTTGTGACCGCAGGCTGTGACGGTTGGTTTTGACATGTTTTGACCAAAGGAGAGCCATGGCGAAGGGGCAGCACAAATGGCACGAATTGGAGGGTCTCAGAGGTTTGTGCTTTCAGAATCCATACTAAACTGGAACCAACCAAGTAGGTCTCACTGGCGCAACTGGCAAGAAGCTGTTTGTCTATCTATGATTGAGTTTGCTTCTTTACTCCAACTAACATCCCCAAAGTTTGTGCCATGTCATTCCAAAAGACCACCCGAGGCCAGACTCAACTAACTCTCTTCAGATGGCTCATGGTTCTTCAGCCCACACTGCTCCCCCCCTCAACCCATCCACCTGCGCATCCCTTCACTCTCCACACCTCCAGAGAGCTCACTCCCGGCCGCTGCAGACGGGGAAGCTCTTCCGTGACGCGGAGGCGCGCCGCGCGAGGCTGCACCGCAGCGGGCCGCAGCTCTCGCTGGAGGAAGCCTTCCAAGTGCTAGAGGCGCCAAACGCCGGGTGGAGCGGGACGGAGGTGGTCACTCAACCGCTTGTTTGTGTGTTTGTGTGTGTGTGTTTGGGATGTTTGGTGCGAGGGTGAAAAAGAAATAGGTGCAAAGGAGGTTCTTAAGAATGTCGGTGGGTGGAAGAGATGAGTACCTCCAAGTGTGTTAGGTCAATAGTTGCTGCTTGAAGGTTTGTTCGAGTTTGATTTCTCAAATACGCCGCTTCGACACGCGCATTCTTCAACTCTAATGTAGCATGCAGCATCAGGTCAAAACATTCCAAAATACTTAATCTATCTCAACATATCTCAACCCCTACCACTTCCTACCCATCTTCCTAGTCCTACCCTCCACTTCGCCGTGTGTGAAAATACACCAGCGAGGCGCCCCCGGAGTGGCTGAGCGGCTTCCGGGAGACTGGTGAGCACTTCAATGAGCTGCGGAAGGCCTGGCGCCAGCGGTGCCTCAAGTGCCACCCCGACAAACAGCCCGAAGGCCAGAGGGACGGTCGGTCGGCCTGGCGAATCGGGAATGGCCTGAAACAGCGGGATCGATTGGCCCATCCATTGGGGTGATGTTAAGATTTTGAATGAGATGGTTCTCAAGGTGGAGCTTGGAGTCTGGGAATGTTGGGAATGTTGGGAATGGTGCTTACTCTCAGAGTGGTACGATCAAGTTGGTCGGAGTGGTCAGATCGTTCGGAGGATTGGAAGAAGAAGCCGCAGCGGAGTGGACTGCCCAGTGGCTTGATAGCAGGAGCTTCGGTGTGGATCGACGGGGTTGGACCAATTGGTGCTTAGATGCTTTAGAGTTAATCAAGGAATCACATACATGGTCAACTGTGAAGGAACATATGATGCTTTGGTTTGACCAACTGGTTTGGAATCTCCAAGTATGCTAGCCGCCAAGAGGCCTCCTACAAGGAGAAGATCACGCCACAGAAGATCCATCCGATGTCATCCGAGACCCATCCGATGTGTCATGTGTCACCGGGCAGGAGCCGGCCACGGCAACTGGCCGAGTCTGACACGCCCAGGTTCCAAGCTGCAGTGCGAGCCTTCGAGGTGATCGATCAGCATCTGCGGCACCTGGAGAGCTGAAAAGGGGCCGCGCGAGCCGCCCAGCGTCGGAAAAGCACTCGGGGCGGACGAGCCTCCCGTGTGGCGGAGGGAGGGTCACGATGAACGAAAGGAACAGGTGTATTAGGGCAGCATGTGGCAGCAGTCAATAGCACTCCTATGCACTCATTAGATCTAATATGATCGAATTGATTAGTAGTTTTGAGCTGATGTGATCAATCGACATGAAAGTCACAGCAGACAGCACCCCGAAAGGGGCCGGAACAGGTGCCCTCTTCAACATCTTGGTCAAAACAACTCCTGATAGAATATGATCCTGGTGTTGATCTCAGAAGAAAATTGGACCAGGCGGGACTTCATTGCCTTGGCTCAGAGCTCACGGTGCCGCGCGGGGCGAGGACGTCCTCCCCGCCGCGCTCACTCCCGGCCGCGATGGACCAGGGCGATGATGTTGCCTCGCCAGCGACTCGGCCCCAACCGTGGTGAGCCGTGGGGTGGGTCGTCGGGAGTGTCGAGGCTTGGCACGGCGGAGAGGACGGGTGAGGGGAACGTGGGTGACTGACTTGAGCGTTCGAACGATGTGAGCTTGAAGCCCTGCCAGGGGGGTGGGGGGGGGGCTGGGGGGGAGATGAAGGGTTACTTAGAGAGATGGGACAGCTCGGAAGAGGTTGGAGGAACCACCCATTCAAGGCAAATATTATCAAATATTATATTGTTGGAAAGCCAAGGAACATCAAGGAACTTTTTGAGTGGGACAGAAAAGCAAAAGGATGCCAATCAGTTGGAATGAAGCATGTGGAGATAGCCATGCATTGAGATGAACTATATCACATTTGTACATGTTTGTTGCAATATGCAAACCTAATGAACTCTAATGACATACTCGACTAGCCCTTAGCCCTATTTCAAACAAAATGTATGATCATGTATGATCCATGAGCAACGTCTTGCGTTAGTTCATCACAGGGCTTCCTCACTCGGACTGCTGAGGTGCAAGGGGTGCTGGCCGCCCAGGTGCTTAAGAAGAAGTGACCGCTTTGTGGAATCAAAACGTGGCCTGAAAGGTCGGTAGAGTGTTCTTAGAATGATAGGCAAACTACGTGGAGAGACCAGTGAAAGAAATTCATGAACATGCGTGGTCATTTGTTTGAGGGAAACAGAGGAGACCGGAGACATTCAGGTGACACATTGCTTCCATGCCTTGTGGTAGACGATTGCTGTTTTACCGCCGCTTAATGCGCGCCGCTGCTCCGTTGCTTGGCCAGGCTTCCAGAAGTCCCTTGCGTGGCTCGTTGGATGCCCTTCAGGTGGGGAACGTGTCGAGTCTGCCTCGAGACGAGGGTGATCGGGATCGTGCGATGAAAGTGACGTGCAAAATGCGAAAAAACCGGAACTTCAGCTCGGTTCGATCTTTCTTGCGACTTTAGGAATGGCTCGACATGACGTCGGGTGAACGTTTCTAGGATGTGCATGTTGTCATATGTTGTCCATTGTGGATGCAGGGCATGCAGGGTGACAACCAGGTCGCGATGAGAATGTTCGCCCCATTCTGGATTATTTGGTGTTGCTGTTAGCATCCACTGTATGGCAGCCAACCCTGCAATCAACTTCCACGAGGATTTGCTCATGGGTGAGCTGCCACTGGAGGCCGACGTCGGATGCAATGATGGGCTCATGGGGCAGCGTTCTGCTTGTGACCTTGATTGGTCGACTGGACTTGCTGCGTGTGGAAATGACACCGAACATTGCATCAACATAGATCATGTATGATCATGTTTGCTTGTTGAACAGGGGGGTTTTGAAGGCCACTTGACCGTCGAACCCGTTACATTCGTCGAACCCATGCGAAGATCATCCACACGGGCGCAGAAGACCGCACCGTTCGTGGATTGGCTTGTCCACGATCTTCTCCCGCAGTGAGACCTGCCTTGTTTTGGGGGATGTTTGCGGAAGGTATGGGATGTATTGGGATATGTATCTATATACCTAAATTGGGTAGATGGTTCTTGGATTCACCAAAGCAGGTTGTGAGATGTTCCATCATTTCTTATCAGATAGGGCGTCTTCATGAGATCCATCAGGAGCTTTGGGGGCTTCGGACACCGCAAAACTCCCGAAACAATCAGCGAAAACCCATCGAGTCCGAAGCCTGGTGGAACAAGGCGAGAACCTGTGCTTCACGGTGAGGAGGGAGTCGAAGCCCCCATGGTGGAACTCCATGAAACGCTTCTAAGATAGTAGACTAGTCTACAAATGTCCACAATAGTAGCCCCCCATAGTAGACCAGTGTAGACTATTGTCAATGTAGACGGTTGATTTGTGAAAGAAGGAAAACATATCGAGATGGAACACTATTTCAACATGTCTACGTCAAATCTTGGAGAAGTAAAAGCAAATCTCTTCAGATTCACATCCATCCGAAGTCATGTCGCATGTTGCATCATTTGAGGTGCTCACCCAGCAGCTGCGGTCATGGCGCGGCTGCGAGCATGTGGTTGAGGCAGTTTGAATGTCTTTGACCTGGTTTAATAGACAAGGGCCATACTTGGCCAAGGGGACAAGTTGCTTCAATCATGCAACCATTCACTCACCATGTTGGGATATTTTGGGTAAGAGCTCTTCAGATTCCATTGATTGGTGAAACTTGTGGATGGGTATGGATGGGGATTTCATAGTGAAGGGTCTACAGGAAGATGGGTTCAAACAATGTCGACATGTTGATTCCCCTTGCCTCCCTCAAGCGCGACTCATCGGCCACCATTTAGGTCCAAGCTGTGGATCCAAAGCAACGGTCGGCGTGGGAAGTGCTCTCTCATGCTCTCTCCAACGTCCTCGTGGTTAGGTGGATGGCTTGGTTTTTTGGAAAGACCAGGAAATCTATTCAAATCCGAATACCAAACATGGGGGGCCACTCTCCACGAAAGCATGTTTGCTGCGGTTCGAGGGATAGCTCACGGTTCGACATCTTGGCGCAGGGGTCCTTGTCGAAGGATGCCTTGAGACACTTGCTGAACATGACCTTGCAGGTGTGGGGGGCGATGGGCCCGGTGCATGCTGAAAATGGGTGGAACATGGGTTGAACATGGATGCATCATGCCATGCATGAGGTTGACACTTGCAAAGTCCTTTTTGATCCTTTTTGGATCTTTTTGGCATCCAGAGGTTGTAGGAAAGGGAGGTTTTCCATCAACATGAGCAGTTTGGTAGGAAGCGCATCGGACGGAATTTGGGCTCCTCCGTCTCGAGGCTTCCTAAACAGCTGATCTGACATGGATCGATCTCCTGACCCGGCTTCACGAGACGAGACCAACGCCACTGACACCTGCGACGAGGCCGAACCGCCTTCGGCACGAAGCGTCGGGCCGACGGCCGGCAGGCCATCCGCCAGAGCGCCTGGGAAGAGGCACTGGTGTGCTCCAACGCCCGGGGAGCTCGGTGAGCTCGCAGTGGCGCCCGACTGGGCCGAAGAGTCCTTTGCAGGGATTGCTGGACATCGGGGATGCTGAGACTTAGCACTGGTGAAACATGATGAAACATGGCTTCACCCAGGTGATGCAACTGCTAAATAAAGCACCTGGGAAATCCTCAGAAGCGAACAGAGGACCCCTGGAAGGCAATTTCCATTTGTGACGGCGTTCAGCTTCCATGATTGGAGGGAAGGTAACCAAGAGGAAAGAGAAGAAGATGGCGTTCCGCGTAGGTTGGACCTTCAGAATTCTGCAGGAAGTAGGACGATGTCCTCGCCGTGGTTTGAACCTCCCTTGTGTGTGTGGTCCATCACACTATCTGCGTGACCAGGTCATGGAAGAGTGCT